TCGAACTGATGATGGAGCTGGACTCCGAAACGTTTTCAATATCGATATGGTGAATTTTCTTGGCGTTTTCTTTGCTTTTAAATTCCTTGTAAACCAAAGTTGTGAAATTTTAAATTTAAATTTAGTTTCGACTAAACCAAATTCATTTCTAAAACCTCTTCATTTATTTACATTTTAAGTTAGAATTTAAAATTAGTTGCGACTAACCACCAAATTCATTTCAAACCTCTTATTTATTTTTATTCTTAATTTATTATTTGTTAGTATTAATTCGTGTCATGACATATCAACAAATGAAAAAATACAACTAAAAAAGTATGACATTCAATACGAATAATTAGCATGCGTTTATTGGCCGCCTTTGTTTATTTCTTGCATGCATTTAAGATTTTCTAAGCCTGGGCTTGATCCTGACTTGAATTTATAACAAAAATGAACCAGAAATCTATCACGATTTTGATCTTGATGTGGATCAATTTTTTCATCGACATCTTGATCGCGATTTTCGTCTCGATGTAATCAGTTTCTCGGTCACGTTATTTATTTGAGGTAAATCTTATGTCGATCCCGCGGCAATTATAATGTATCCTGGCACCATGGCATTTAATTGCCCACCGTGGCATTTAATTGCCGACCATGGCATTTAATAACCATTTTAATTTAATTAATGGCATTCAATTGCCCAGCATGGCATTTCATTGCCATTTTAATGTAATTAATTGTATTTAATTGCGACAATGGCATTTAATTACCATTTTAATGTAATTAATCTTATTTATTTGCCCACTATGGCATTTAATTGCCATTTTAATTTCGATTGCAGTCAACTGGAGGCAGAGCTGGCGACGCTGTCAAGTATGGCAGACCATGTCAACCAGAAGATGGGGATCCTACAGCAGGATACGGCGCCGGGGGGCGGCGACCCTGCGTCCTGCGACTCGGGGGGCGTGGACCTGGACAACCTGTTCTCGTTCCTCACGGACATCCCCACAGAGAAGACCTTCTTCGAGGACCTTGGGCAGGAGATGTCCTGTCTCGCGGACAACGTGCAGGAGGAGGTGGTTTTTATAAGCGCTATAATTTTTGTTTCTATTTATTATTATTGCAAGACTTCTCTTTAACTTTACTTCTTATTGTTTGTTTGTTGACGACGCACTTTGAGAACCTTGGCCAGGAGATGTCCTGTCTCGCGGACAACGTGCAGGAGGAGGTACTGCTTAACTAGCGCTATAACTCTGATTTGTATTTATTATTGTTATTATTATTTATTTATTAATTGTTAGTAATTAATAATTGTTTTTATTATTTATTTATTCATTATTAAATATATTGGGTTAGTCCTTGAAATTGTACTAGACAAATCTTTGGATCCTCTAAGTTCTCCTAAAGGCCGGTCCACACGCTAAGTTTTACACAACGATTTTTCTGCGCAGTTCTAATCGTTGCAGATAAAACGTTGCGTGTGGACGGGAAAACTGCGCAGTTTTGGAGCCGGCGGGAAAACTGCGCAGTTGCATCGAAATCTGAGCTCCAGAGCATAGATTTCGATGAACTGCGCAGACAAGTCGGAACGTGTGGACGGTAGCACAGTTTTCCGATTCAATTTGTGCTCAGTTTCAATGATTCTGGCGACCATGGCGGACCTTCGGTAATGTTCTCGGGAATTTATTGCTTTTCTATACGAAAGTTTTTCTTGCATTTGGCGAGTAAAGTTCAAGGACTATAGTAACAGGGACAAAAAAGGGGGAGACTTACGAGGGCTTAGTAGAAAAATTAAAAAAAAATCGATGAAAGCGTAAACAGAGAAACAGCTGTAAAATAAGTTGAGGAGCATTTACCGTAAATAATTGGGAATAAATAAATAAAATCGATTCCATCTGGACCTGGAGAAGAAGACATCTACAAGCCATCTCTCTTGTATTTTGATTCCTCGCATTCCCTAAATGATCCAATCTCTTTTTTTAACAATGCACAATGCCAAAATTTATCAAAATACTGCCTTTTCCATGGCACGTTTCGGATAAATTTACGGCCGGACTCGCGGCCTGTCTCCCCAAATTCGATGAGCATGGAACATCTCCCAAAGTAATGAACGTAGCTCGATAAAACTTTGTACACGTATTTATTAGGACTTGACGGTGATGTTCAGCACGTGATAATTTTTTTCGATTTTGCCTTCGTATGCGAGTTATACGGCTTTATCTAATCTAAAAATTGTCACGAGCTAAACATGGCTGTTGGGAGGCTAGGTTTATATATTCAAAGTTATATTATAGGTTATATATTCAAAGAAGAAATGTCATGCTCACTGCAAATTTCGGCACGTATCGTCATATAACTCACGAATGAAGGTGAAATTCTAAAAATGTTCACGAGCTAAACATCACCGTTAAGTCCTAATGAATACGTGTACCAAGTTTTATCGGGCTGCGTTCATTACTTTGGGAGATATTCCATGCTCACCGAATTTGGAGAAACCGGCCGCAAGTCCGGCTGTAAATTTGTACAATACCATGGCGAGATCGCGCAAAACTGAGCAAACTACTCAGATAAGTCGGCACCGCGTGGACGCTCTAAAAATTGCAACGATTTCATTCCGACTTAGAACTGCGCAGAAAAATCGTTGTGAAAACTGAGCGTGTGGACCGGCCTTTAGTGAAGGATCGAATAGGAATTGCGTGGTGAGGTGGTGATGGATGGTGGTGAGTGTAGTGGAACATTGGTAGACGGCTATGAAGGAAAAAGAGTTTCAGTTTAGTAAAATAATCATATTGGACTTCCAATAAATCTTTTTGGTTTTATTGTATCGATAAAGTAGGGCACTCCAAATTATCGCCCTTAGTTGTAAAGTTTTTAAACAACTTTTCTCTCAAAGTTACGGTCAATTTCAAACTGAAATTATGAATTCCTTTACTAATTGAATTCCTTTACTACTAAGTTTAATTACTACTTCTAATTCACGTTTTGTTAAATTCTAATTAAGTCAAATGCTGAAGAAGTACAAACAATGATGACAAACAAGAATGACAAACGAGAATCACAAACAAAAATGACAAACAATTAATGACAAACTAGAATTACAAACATTGAATGACAAACAAGAATGACAAACAATGAATGACAAACGATGAATGACCAAAAAAGAATGACACCAATAAGAATGACAAACGAGAATCACAAACAAAGAATGGCAAACAATGATGATAGCTTTTGCTAAAGTAATTCACGTTTTGCTGAATGGCTTTAGTAATTCGCTTCCGTTTCGTTGGCTTCATGAAGTAAATTTTTCGTCGAAAATTCGTGTTTGTTTGCTCAGCTGGACGCGCTGACCCGCGACAACCGCTCGAAGGCCCCACGGGATGGGACCCTTCGGGCCACGAGTCCTGGGCCTGGGATGACCCGGGCCCCGAGTCCTGGGCCTCCCCCACCCCCTCTCACCAACGGGGCCCTGCCCTCTCCCCCTCCTGCCCCCAGCGAGGGCCCACTTTCTTTCCCTCTTCCCCCGCCGCTGGACGAGGAACTGAGGCTCAAACTTCCTGACGAAGACCTACCGCCACCGCCCCCTGAGGTGCCACTGGACTAGAGTCCCCACTGTGCTTGTGCCGCCACTGTGCTTGTGCCGCCACTGTGCTTGTGCCGCCACTGTGCCACTGTGCTTGTTGCTACTGTGCCACTGTACTTGTGTCGCCACTGAACTTGTGTCGCCTCTGTTGACATGTTCTAGACGTGGAACATGTCTAGAACATGTCTCATGTCTATGTTATGTCTGTCTTGTAGAATTACAATCTTTCAAAATATAAAAAACACCCGTAATGCACAATATTCTGGTATTTATAAGACCATCTTTCGAGAAATGCCAGGATTTTCATGATTAGTAGTAAAAATTTTTACACTAAAAATCAAATTTTAAATTGGGGTTTCGATAATTACAAGGATTTTGATGATGAAAATTGAAATTTTTTAAACTAAAAGTTTAATTTTATTTTGGGTTTTTGATAAACAATTGTCATTTTTTATAATTTTTGATAAATAGTTGTTAATCAAATTCGTTGTGCAGCCTCAGGAGGAGCGGCCTAAGGAGCCCATCTACGAGACCATCCCTGCGGGCCTCCCGGGGAGGCCACAGCAAGAGGCCAGCAAGAGGCCCCAGCACACCTACGTGTCCGGCCCTCCTCCCCAGGGCACGTGGGCATGGATACGTGTGGTGTTGTTGTCCCTGGATACGTGTAGTGTTGTCCCTGGATACGTGTAGTGTTGTCCCTGGATACGTGTGGTGCTGCCCCTGGATACGTGTGGTGTTGCCCCTGGATATGTGTATTGTTGTCCCTGGATACGTGTTGTGTTGCCCCTGGATATGTGTATTGTTGTCCCTGGATACGTGTAGTGTTGTCCCTGGATACGTGTAGTGTTGTCCCTGGATACGTGTAGTGTTGTCCCTGGATACGTGTGGTGTTGTCCCTGGATACGTGTGGTGTTGTCCCTGCCCCCTGGATACGTGTGGTGTTGTCCCTGGATACGTTTAACTCTTAATGTTGAACTTCAAGTGAAAACAAAAAGTAAAGAGCCATTCATACCACAGACACGAACTTAAATATTCGCCATATTGAATACAATTAAATACAAAAAGTTTTATTGGGAACACCTCTTCAAGATAATCTACATTGATGTTTTCTCCAATAAATACTTCATGTCTTCTTATGTGGATTTTAAAATATTTTATTATTTTTATTTGCTATTTATTTTCTTTTATGTCAAATTAATAGTTATAATTATTCGACCTATTGAATATTCGACTACAGGTCCTCCACCGGCACCGCCCCTGGAAAACGCCCCCCACACCCGCGCCCTCCCTCCTCCTGCTGGGGACCTGCGCTCCTGTCTCCCACATCCCCCCAGTGCCGGGGAGGCCAGATCTCCCCCACCCCAACCTCCCCAGGTGGGGGACCGTGGAGGGGAGTTGCGGTCCCCGCAGCCTGAGGACGAGGCGGGCCGTCGGTCTCGCCGTTCCTCAGCGCCGCGCAAAGCTTCGTCGCGGTCATCGTCGGCCCACACGAGTCCAGCCCGCACGTCGCACCCCGGCACCCCCACGAGCCCCAACAACAAGGTGGGGTCATGGGGGTCCTACATAACAAAATTTAGATCCCGGTCAGACTCTGCATCAGGTGCCGCCCAAGACTCGGGGAGCAGGTAGATCAGCCGCTGATGTCCGTTTTGGTTCAAGGTTTGTTAGGCAGCCTCTGGGCAGCTTGCAAGCTTCGGTATGACTAGGCTTGGCCAATCATTCTCACACTCTCAGGCGACTATGAAGCCGGAAAGGAGATCCTGACCAGAAACTGACACAGAATAACTTTGTGCCGAGTGTAGCGACTCTTCGACCGAAGCCTAGGCGGTACACGAGTTTTGTTGGTCTGTTCGTTGCCCAGAAAATGAGGTGCATGGAGAGAGAGGGTGATTCCTGTACAGGTGCGACGTGTAACCCTCTGTCGTGTACATGTATCGTTTTACCCTCTGTCCTGTACATGTGTCGTGTGTTACCCTCTGTCGTGTACATGTGTCGTGTGTTACCCTCTGTCGTGTACATGTGACGTGTGTTACCCTCTGTCGTGTACATGTGTCGTGTGTTACCCTCTGTCGTGTACATGTGACGTGTGTTACCCTCTGTCCTGTACATGTGTCGTGTGTTACCCTCTGTCGTGTACATGTGACGTGTGTTACCCTCTGTCCTGTACATGTGTCGTGTGTTACTCTCTGTCGTGTACAGGTGTGTCGTGTACAGGTGTTTCGTGTACAGGTGTGTCGTGTCTTTCCCTCTGTTGCAGGTATGACATGTTACCTTCTCTTATGCAGGTGGTTGCCCGCGTGGACGGCACGGCGACGCTGGAGCGCAAGGAGCGCCGTAAGCAGCGCGTGGAGCGCAAGCTGCACGAGCTGGAGGAGCTCGAGGAGACCAAGGACGCCTCCGACGCCTGGGAGCTCATCGACTTCGCTGAGAAATACTTCAACAACCACGAACGTTCTCCTGAAGGTGCGCTTCAACTTCATCCTGTTATATAGATGCTCCTGAAGGTGCGGTTGAACTTCAACTTTAACCTATTATAGATGCTCGCTTCTATAAAGTTGTCGTGTACCTCTGAAATTCGATATACAGTCGGTTTCTGATTGTTGCTTATTTCAACAACCACGAACGTTCTCCTGAAGGTACGCTTCAACTTCAACTTCAACCTGTTCGCTTCTAAAGTTGTCATGTACCTTAAAAATTCGATATACCTTTGGTTACTGATTGTTGCTTATGTTAATGTTGATAAGAGTCGAGCCAAAGTTCTCATGTACCTCAAAAATTCTATTTCCCTTCGGTTAAGGATTGTTGCCGATGTTAATGTTGATAAGAGTTGAATGATTACTTTTCTTTTATTTATATTCGTTATGTTTTAATACATTGGGTCTTCATTTAATTTAGAAGATTCGTCGCTAACTTTTAAACTTCTAGATTTTTCAGAATATCTCGAGTTTCACCCGCCAAAGTTTGGGATGAAGCTTTATCGTTCATTTTATTTTAATCCAATCTTAATCTAGGCACTAGGCTTCTCAGTATATCTCAAGTTTCATCCGTCAATGTTTTTGGATGAAATTTTATCGTAAATTTAATTTTAATATGACCAGGCACCATCATGTCGACGCTGGCTCGTAAGCGATCCTCGTCCTCCTCGTCCATCGAGTTCCTGCCGAAGCAGCAACTCGTCACCTACAGCCGCAGCTCCGTCATCCCTACATCACACATCCATCTCTACGACCCTGAGAACATCACCATCGCCTGCACCATCTTCAGGGTGAGTGAGAACATCACCATCGCCTGCACCATCTTCAGGGTGAGTGAGAACATCACCATCGCCTGCACCATCTTCAGGGTGAGTGAGAACATCACCATCGCCNATATATTGTTATTATATACTAAAACACTTCACCTCGATATATGTGCAGTATTTCCTCAATAATTACCCTTATGTATTCTATATATTGTTATTATATTCTAAAACACTTCACCTCGATATATGTGCAGTATTTCCTCAATAATTACCCTTATGTATTCTATATATTGTTATTATATACTAAAACACTTCACCTCGATATATGTGCAGTATTTCCTCAATAATTACCCTTATGTATTCTATATATTGTTATTATATTCTAAAACACTTCACCTCGATATATGTGCAGTATTTCCTCAATAATTACCCTTATGTATTCTATATATTGTTATTATATACTAAAACACTTCACCTCGATATATGTGCAGTATTTCCTCAATAATTACCCTTATGTATTCTATATATTGTTATTATATTCTAAAACACTTCACCTCGATATATGTGCAGTATTTCCTCAATAATTACCCTTATGTATTCTATATATTGTTATTATATACTAAAACACTTCACCTCGATATATGTGCAGTATTTCCTCAATAATTACCCTTATGTATTCTATATATTGTTATTATATTCTAAAACACTTCACCTCGATGTATGTGCAGTATTTCGTAAGTTTCCTACACAAGAACCTTGGTCTGGAGGGCAAGCTGTGCCAGTACGTGCAGTGGTGCCTCGAGAACTGCAAGAACACTAAAGTGACCTGCAGACGACGACCCCCCTCGTCTGTTGAGATCGCTGCCATGAAGAAACTTGGTACCATCGTCTGCAGGTGCGACCTGTTTAGGTGTATAAATGGCCACAGGTGCGACGTGCTTAGTTGTTGCAGTTGCAGGAACATAGATTTTATCTTTCATAAATTAAATTATATGTCGATGTTAAATGCTTTAATTGATGCTTTCAGACATCAATTAAGTGCTATGCATCTCTAGTCGTAGTTTTCGTGAACTCGTGATTAATTTTTTTATTTGATGATGATTATGTTTTCTGTTGCGTTGTTTGCAGTCACCTTCACCTGTTTATATCCTTGTCCTGGTTTTCTTCACTAATAAGGTCTTTAACGTCCTACAATTTTTTTTAATCTTCAGTATCTTGCATATTGTGTGTGTAATATTAACAATATTTTACTTCTTTATGTCCTTGGCCTGCTTTTCTCTACCAAGGTCTTCAAGCTCCTGTAAATTATTTCTAAATTTTCAGTATCCTGCACATTGTGCGCGTAATATTAATATTTTTTTTACTGCGCTGTGTAAATTTTTTATTTACTGCGCTGTGTACGTTTTTCATTTACTACGCTGTTTAAGTTTTTTATTTACTGCGCTGTGTACGTTTTTTATTTACTACGCTGTATAAGTTTTTTATTTACTGCGCTGTGTAATGTATTTTACTGCGCCGTGTAATGTATTTTACTGCGCCGTGTAATATTTTACTTACTGCTTTCGTCAGATTTTTTTCCCGGACGGTAAATTTTTTCTAAATTTATTTCTAAATTGTAGTATTATATTAACAATATTTTTTTACTGCTTTTGTCAGATTTTTCTTCCTGGACGGCCGTACGAAGGCAATAGACGTGCACCCGCGCGACACGGCGAGCGATGCGCTGCAGAAACTGGCGGACCGCCTGGGCCTGACCAGCGTGGACGGCTGGGCCATATACCAGAGTAGCGCGTGTAAAGAGAAGCATGTTAAGACACACGAGTATCTTTACGACATCATCTCGTCCTGGGAGACGTGAGTATCTTTACGACATCATATCCTCCTGGGAGACGTGAGTATCTTTACGACATCATCTCGTCCTGGGAGACGTGAGTATCTTTACGACAATACAACATTGAGGCTCGATATATTACTGAACACAATTACTGTATTCAGTTTACTGTTTCACATTACTGATTCAGTAATTGTATTTCTGAATACAATTACTCAATACAATTATTGAAAATTGTCGGGTCTGAAAATTCAAAGAACCCTTAAACAGCTTTTTGTGCTTAAATGGATTATATTTTAAATTAACTAAACGAAGTGAGTGTAAATGTCGTATGTTTGGCCAGGAACAACAACAAGAACAGCGCAAACAACAACAGCCAAGCGGCGAGTGCGGGCGAGAACAGATTTGTCTTCCGCAAGAGATTGTTCCGCAACCCGCGCGAGATACCCAGCGATCCTGTGCATGTGAACCTGTTGTACAGCCAGGCCGTGTACTGCGTCGTCAGGGTGTGTATTGTGATCATTGTCCCTGTTATTGTTAATATTGTTATTGTTACTATTACTATTATTATTATTATTGTTATTATCGGTTCCCCATCAACGAGACTTTTTTTTGTTGTGCAGAGCGATGAATTCCCCATTTTTGATGTGCAGAGCGTAAATTTTCCATCAACAAGATTTTTATTATTTGATGTGTGCAGAGCGACGAGTTCCCCATCAACGAGAAGGTAGCCCTGCAGCTAGCAGGACTACAGGCGCAGGTAGCTCTAGGAGACCCTCAGGACGGCAAGGAGCAGTTCTACACAGAACTCTCCGCTTATCTTCCTGCTAGGATAGCAGACGTGCGCACCACGGAGGAATGGGTGTGTGTGATCTATTTAACTCGTAAACTTACTGCTGTGATCTACGTATAATAATAACTATGATATTCAGTCGATCTTCAACTATAACTAAATAATATAATAACTACATTCGATGATAACAAATAAATACATTCGATCTTCAACTAAACTAAATATTATAATAACTATTAATCATTCTTAAACTATAATTTTTGAATAAGCTCTGCTCTGTATGAATGTATCGTACATTTTGAGTTTCACGGTCGCCTGCTAGACTCGTGTAAGACCGGACCGTAGTTTCCTGCTACCGTGCTATAAAAACTTGCTTAAGTACATGTAGCGACCTGAGTACAGGTAGCGTCCTAAGTATACGTAGCGTTCTAAGTACACGTTGCATCTTAAGTGCACGTAGGAGCCTAAGTGCACGTAGCGGTCTAAGTACACGTAGTATCCTAAATGCACGTAGCATCCTAAGTGCGCGTAGCAGCCTAATTGTGCGCGTAGCTGCCTAAGTACACTTAACGTCCTAAGTACACATAGTATCCTAAATGCACGTAGCGGCCTCATTACTAGTCTGTGATTGGTGGCTTTAGTTTGACAAACTAATTATTGATATTATGGCCCCTTGCTCCCTGACGTCTTAACCTGCTCCCTGACGCCTTAACCTGCTCCCTGACGCCTTGACCTGCTCCCTGACGCCTTGACCTGCTCCCTGACGCCTTAACCTGTTCCCCTACCATTAACCTGTTGCCTGGGTGTCAGGTACCGCTGTTGGCCGAGGCGCACCGTCAGTACGGTACAGGCAAGAGTGAGATCGTGGCCAAGGTTTGGTACTTGACTTGCGTGATGCAGTTCCCTCTGTATGGTACTACCCTCTTCCCTGTGGCATATAGAGGCTACTGGAACTATGGCAACTCTCTTATCCTCGGCATCAACTGTGATGGCATCGCCATGATCAAACCTGATGACAAGTTTATCCTATACGAGTATCGGTACTCTGATATCGAGTCTATCTTCCTACATCCCAGGTGAAATTATTATGTTATTATTAAATATAGTATATTATTATTATTATATATTATATTATTTTATTATCATATATTATATTATTTTTATATTTTATATTATTATTATATATTTCGTATGTTTTTTACCGCTTGGTTATAACTATAGGTCGTAGTCTTACCTTGTATATTTTAAGAGTTGATTGGACTATGGCGTTATTGGCTTGGAAGTAGCTTTTAAAGTGGTTCAAGTAAAAAGCTTCTAGTTAATGCAATTTGATTTAAAATGTTGTTTTCAATATCCTCTTTTAAAATTTTCACGTTACTTGGTACAGATATCAGTCAATATATTTTGTAGGATATTTGAATCTTTTCTACATATTCAATCCAAAGTAAAAATCAACTCGATCTGACCCACATTTGCTGAATTCATTTCTAAGCTTAGACGATAACATATAATGTGCATGCCACTTCCCCTTGCTCATACCTTGTTATTATTCACAGCGACGACTTTATAACGATCAGTTATTCCTTCTTATTAATTATTATTAATATTATTATCATTCCTTTTTATTATTTATATTATTATTATTCGTTCTTATTATCCACAGCGACGACTTCATAACGATCAGTTTACTGCGCACGCTGCCTGACGCGCACAAATGTTTTGTGTTCGTTATCATTATTATTATCATTTGTTCTTATTAATATCATTATTATTCCTTCTTATTATTAATATTAATATTATTATATGCAGCGACGACTTCATAACGATCAGTTTGCTACGCACGCTGCCTGACGCGCACAAATGTTTTGTGTTCGAGACGAAGGAGAAAGAAGAGATCGGCTACCTTATTGCCAGCTACTCGCCTCTACTGGCCGCCTGGATCAAGGATATTGACTCCAGTAAAAAGGTGTGTGCCTCTGATGCTGTGGCCTCTGTTGCTGTGTCCTCTGATGCTGTGGCCTCTGATGCTGTGGCCTCTGATGCTGTGGCCTCTGATGCTGTGGCCTCTGATGTTGTGGCCTCAGCTGCTGTGGCCTCAGCTGTCTTGTGGCATCAGCTGCTGTGGCCTCAGCTGTCTTGTGGCCTCAGCTGCTGTGGCCTCAGCTGCTGTGGCCTCAGCTGCTGTGGCCTCAGCTGCTGTGGCACCAGCTGTCTTGTGGCCTCAGCTGTTTGGTGTCCTCAGCTGCTGTGGCCTCTGCTGTCTTGTGGCCTCAGCTGTCTTGTGGCCTCAGCTGCTGTGGCCTCAGCTGTCTTGTGCATCAGCTGTTGTGGCTTCAGCTGCTGTGGCCTCAGCTGTTTGGTGTCCTCAGGTGCTGTGGCCTCTGATGCTGTGGCCTCTGCTGCTGTGGCCTCCGCTGTCTTGTGGCATCAGCTGCTGTGGCCTCAGCTGCTGTGGCCTCAGCTGTCTTGTGGCCTCAACTGTTTGGTGTCCTCAGCTGCTGTGGCCTCTGATGCTGTGGCCTCAGCTGTCTTGTGGCCTCAGCTGATGTGGCCTCAGCTGTCTTGTGGCCTCAGCTGTTTGGTGTCCTCAGCTGCTGTGGCCTCTGATGCTGTGGCCTCAGCTGTTGTGGCCTCAGCTGCTGTGGCCTCAGCTGTTTGTTGTCTTCAGCCGCTGTGGCCTCAGCTGTCTTATGGCCTTAGCTGTTGTGGCCTAAGCTGTTTGGTGTCCTAGCAGCTGTGTCCTCTTGAGGCCAATTGATGTAGGGTGTTTCAATTATATTATCTCTGTTGTTAAGGTTTTGTTATTTGTAAACCATACTGTAAACCATATCATTGTACATATGTACACCTGTGCCATGTGTTGTACATATGTACACCTGTGCCATGTGTTGTACATATGTACACGTGTGCCATCAGTAATTGTTCTATATACGTTCACTTATCATTGTACATATGCACACCTGTGCAATGTGTAATTGTCCTTTTATTCGTACTGCAGGTTAAACAATTTTAATTCTTCTGTAATTGTTTTTTGTACTGCAGGTTAAGCAGGTGACCGCAGACGACCGCATGCGTCTGGCCCACAGTCTGCTACACGCGCGTCGCCTGCTGGTGGACAACAACCTGCTGCTTAAACCTGCTGAGATAACCGGCAACATCATCGTGTCTACACTGCGCAGGTCTGCTGTACTCACTCTTACTCACCCTCTCACTCACCCTCTCGAACTCACCCTCACACTCACCCTCTCGAACTCACCCTAGAACTCACCTTCGAACTCACCCTCTCACTCACCCTCACACTCACCCTCTCACTCACCCTCTCGAACTCACCCTCGAACTCACCCTCTCGAACTCACCCTCTCACTCACCCTCTCGAACTCACCCTCTCGAACTCACCCTCTCGAACTCACCCTCTCGAACTCACCCTCTCGAACTCACCCTCTCGAACTCACCCTCTCGAACTCACCCTCTCGAACTCACCCTCTCGAACTCACCCTCTCGAACTCACCCTCTCGAACTCACCCTCTCGAACTCACCCTCTCGAACTCACCCTCTCGAACTCACCCTCTCGAACTCACCCTCTCGAACTCACCCTCTCGAACTCACCCTCTCGAACTCACCCTCTCGAACTCACCCTCTCGAACTCACCCTCTCGAACTCACCCTCTCGAACTCACCCTCTCGAACTCACCCTCTCGAACTCACCCTCTCGAACTCACCCTCTCGAACTCACCCTCTCGAACTCACCCTCTCGAACTCACCCTCTCGAACTCACCCTCTCGAACTCACCCTCTCGAACTCACCCTCTCGAACTCACCCTCTCGAACTCACCCTCTCGAACTCACCCTCTCGAACTCACCCTCTCGAACTCACCCTCTCGAACTCACCCTCTCGAACTCACCCTCTCGAACTCACCCTCTCGAACTCACCCTCTCGAACTCACCCTCTCGAACTNCTGTCTCTTATACACATCTAGATGTGTATAAGAGACAGCCCTCACACTCACCCTCTCGAACTCACTCACCCTCTCACTCGCCCTCTTACTCACACTCACTCTCTCACTCACTCTCTCACTCACCCTCTCACTCGCCCTCTTACTCACACTCACTCTCTCACTCACTCTCTCACTCACCCTCTCACTCGCCTTCGCCTCTATAAGCCATTTGTTGAGCCTGTATTCTCATATACGAGTAATTCTCATATACGATAATATTTTATCTGTTATATCCACTATAAATTTATAATAAATTACTTGCAGCACTAAAAATGTTTTTTAATGATAGCCTTTGTCGCCAGACTCGAAATAAAGAGAGGGGTCTCGCCATGACATTAAAATTAAAGAGTTGTTATAAAACGTTATAAGTTGCGACTAGTTGTTACAAAAAATTTCAAGTTATTGTATGATGTTTTTGTAAATTCTTGACGTTTATGTTCCTTGTTACTGTAAAGTCTCGACGTTATTGTTACTGTAAATTGTCGACGTTTAAGTTCCTTGTTACTGTAAACTCTCGACGTTATTGTTACTGTAAATTGTCGACGTTTAAGTTCCTTGTTACTGTAAACTCTCGACGTTATTGTTATTGTAAATTGTCAACGTTATTGTTATTGCAAATGCAGACTGAACAAGAACAAAGGCGACAAGCCGCGCCCCGAGTACGGTGACCAGAGTGAGAGCTACAAAGGCTTCCACCAGAGCTACTGGAGCTTCTCTAAGACACCACTCACTCAACCACTCACTAGAGTGACTGACTTAGAGTGTCAGGAGCAAGTGCTGCACATCTCATTAGCCATACTCACCTACGCGGGACTCAACGCTAATGGTGAGTATCACCACACGTAGAGTGCTGCACATCTCATTAGCCATACTCACCTACGCGGGACTCAACGCTAATGGTGAGTATCACCACACGAAATAAAAACATCCATAGTCTTTTATTCTCAGCTAAAACATGCGATTAATTTCCTGCTCTCGTTTCATTTAACTTCATTAAATGTTCATCATTGGTGTACTTTGCTGCACCATCCAAAATAGATCATTACATGCCGCCAATATAATGAATAATAGAGGCACCCAATCTCTAACTGATGAACTACTCGTTACAACGGATCTTTGTGATATCTTTTTGACTTTGTATCAAAAAATATTTCACATCAACTGTACTGAGGACAAAATTTGTTCAACAATTATTGTTTATAAGCATTATTATTATTATTGAATTATTGCTTATAAGCATTATTATTATTGTTGAATTATTGCTTATAAGCATTATTATTATTGTTGAATTATTGCTTATAAGCATTATTCCATTTAATATCAGCGGTGATATATCACGCTACTTCTGCTTGTGCTGATGTCATTCCACTACACAGCAGAAGGTCAGACCGCTGACGAACATCAGCTGGGTCTAGTCCAGGGTCTGCTAGAGCAAAGCATGAAGACCGACTCGCTGCTCAACGAGACCTACATGCAGCTCATCAAACAGACCACAGACCATCCCGGTGAGCGTCTCCGCCTCTCTTGCTACATTGTATTTAATATATTCTTTATTACATCATCACGCCTTTTATAACTAAATTAGATAGCAACATATTTCTTGAAGTCACTGCGCAGCCTGACACAAAGGTCTTTCATGTTCTAAGCAGACAAGTTTTTCTTCAATCTTCATGAGATGTCATTGTAATTCCTGAGTTCTTATTTAAATTTTTTACCAAATTAAATGTTTTAAAATTCCCATAGAATTCAATATTATATTAACCTAATTATAAGCAATTTCAATATGAACCCAAATTTTGAGTGCGATTGTGAAGTAATACGTTTGATTAGTTCATCTTATTCACCATGTGATAATTTGATCTTGTTTCCCTATTTGATGATTCATTTGATCAACTTCACCATGTGATAATTTAATAATGTTTACAATTAAATAATTCCATCATGTTTACCATTTAATAATTCTACTATCAAGTTCACAATTAAATAATTCTATCAATTTCATAATTAAACTATTAAATTATGTTCACCATGTCATAATTTGATAAAGTTTACCATTAAACAATTCCATCATCATTACTATTAAACAATTCTATCATGTATACCATGTGATAATTTGATCAAGTTCACAAATAATCAATTCCATAATGTTTACCATGTGATATTTTAATAATGTTTACAATTGAATAATTCTATCATGTTTACCATATGATAATTTGATCAAGATTACAATTAATAAATTCGATCATGTTTATAATTTGATAATTAAATCAGGTTCACAATGAAAAAATTCGATCAATTTCACCAGACCGCAACTCTCGCGTAAACCTGCGTCAGTGGGCGCTGTTGACGCTGTACTGCTCCGAGATCATTTAATCACGTTTATAATTAAATAATTCTAGCAAGTTAACAATTAATCAACTCTATAATGTTGACCAGACCGCAACTCGCGCGTAAACCTGCGTCAGTGGGCGCTACTTACGCTGTACTGCTCCGTGATCCCCCCCACGGACAAGTTAATAAGGAAGTACTTACGCGCGCACCTGCAACGCTGTGGTATGGACTCGGTGTCTGAGGAGGGCAAATACGCACGATACGCTGAGAAAGTGAGTGAAAAATTATTTACTAAGTGAGTTCTAACTTTATTATAATCTAAATTTCTCGCAAAGTGAGTTCAAAATTAAGTGACTAAATTTCTAACAAAGTGAATTCGAATTTCTCGCTAGGTGAGTTCTAAATTTCACACAAAGTTGGTCAAAGTGTTTGTGATGAGAACGTGTGTCGAGAAATTAAAAATTTAGTTGAGGATGTTCGAGAAAGTCAGTTCGTTGGTCTGCGTTAGAAAAGTGAATGTACACTTTTTGAGATTATTATTCAGATAGTTTCAGTTTCATTATTTATATTAGCGATCAGAATCGGCATGGATTAGTAAACTGTCTTCTGCGAATGAGTTTGATCATAAATTTAGCAATGCTAATGCTATAGCGATGCTAATACAGGGTGCGTCAGAGAAACTTACTTATTTGAAAGGTCAATAAAAACAAAAGTACTTCAATTATTGTTTTAATTTTTTTTATTTGAGAATACAGTATCACAAATTTTTTTTAATACAGTTTTGAAAATGACATCTCATAAATGACGGCCCCCATTGCGCATAATTTGATGAAGTCGATTTTTGAAATTTTTATCCTTTCTATGCAGCATATCAATCGGTATTTTGGCAATGACGTCACGAATGTTGTTCTTGAGGTGTGCTATGGTCCGTGGTCGATCGACTTAAACCAGAAATTTCAAATAACCCTATAAAAAGAAATACCATAGAGTCAAACCTGGAGAGCGTGGCGGCCATTGGAGATCGCCTCTGAGAGAGATGAGGCGGTCGGGGAAATGTTGTCGCAACAAATTCATCGAGTCTCGTGCTGTGTGTGCTGTGGCTCCATCTTGCTGAAACCACACATTCCTAACGTTCATTTCTTCGAGACTTGGAAGAAAAAATTCCTCGATCATGTTCCTGTAACGAGCTCCATTAACGGTAACTGCGCATTTGTTTTCTTCAAAAAAATAAGGACCAATTATTCCCATTACCGACGTCGCACACCAGACAGTAACTCGCTCACAGTTAAGTGGCTTCTGGTGAAACTCACGTGGATTTACACCACATCAATAACGCATGTTTAGCTTGTTAACGCAGCCGGAAATGTGGAAGTGAGCCTCGTCACTGAAAAAAACGACCGCGTCTTCAGGCAGGTTGTCAACCAGCATTTTACATGCATTTTGAGGGGCAACAAAATTGCGTTCAGTTAATTCTTGCACTACAGCAAATTTATTTGAAAAACTTCGAGAAACAAACTTGGGAACTTTCCCCTTCAGTTGCACCCCCTCTCGCCCTTCTACCCGACCAACTAACCGCACAGGAATTTTTTCAAAAAAGTAAGTTTCTCTGGCGCACCCTGTATTATATCGATGCTAATGCTACAGTGATGCTAATGCTATAGCGATGCTAATGCTATTGCGACGCTATAACAAAGAAGTCAATTCGAGTAGTTCGATTTCATATGTCATTTGGTGCCACGATTATTATTCACAATTGGGTGATGGATAACCTCTCCCTCTTCATATTTTACCTTTCAATCCACCACCACTTCATACCACTTAACACCATTTTCCACCACATCACTCGACTTCATACGACTTTTCACCATTTCTCACCTCATCACTGACCACTTTACACCACTTCACTATAACATCACACCCCTTCACTAACCCCCCTCCCCCCACAGTGCCTGAACAAGGCCCTGAACAACAGACGGCGCCAGTGGCCGCCCTCCAAGCAGGAGATCCTGTGCACCATCAACAGACGTCCCATCTACGCGCGCTTCCACTTCATGGACGGACAGTTCCACTCACTTGAGTTTGATGCTTCCGCTACTGCCAGGGAGGTCGTCGAGCTCATCAAGAGGAAGATAGGCCTGCCTGAGACCATCAAAGGTAGGTCCGAGACCATCAAGGGCAGGGCTGCCTGAGACCATCAAAGGTAGGTCCGAGACCATCAAGGTCAAGCCGAGACCATCAAGGGTATAAGTAGCCGAGACCATCAAGAGTAAGATAGGGCTGCCTGAGGCCATCAAGGGTAGGTCTGGCCTAGACCATCAAGGCAGGTACCTATGGACCAGATCATCAACCAGAAGATAGGGCTACCTGAGACTGAGACCATCAAAGGTAGGGCTGTCCGAGACCATCAAGGGTATAGCCGAGACCATCAAGGGTAGGTTGCCTGAGATCATCTAGGGTAGATCTGCCTGAGACCATCAAGGGTAGGTCTACTCAAGACCATCAAGAGTTGGTCTAAGTGGCTTACTCTTTGAAACCTCAAATTTGTGAGTGAACTAAAACTCAAGTTGCAAGTTATTGCCTTTCTGCTGTGCGTCACTGACCACTGGCGCTGGTTGTGTAGTTCAGCTGGGCCTATACTTTCAAAAAAAGTTAAGAGATCGTAAGTTCATCAGCCAATCACTGACGGCCTTTCAAGTAAAATCCACCAATCATAGACAAGAAAATAGAGCGTATATAAGTACTTACGTTCACTTAGCAAGTTTTGAAAGTATAGGCCCAGTTCATATACATTTCCTGGTATATAATAACTCGGTTATTATGCTATTCTAATATTATGTTAAAATATAGCTAATTATTTCATAACATATGATGCGCTAGTGATATATACGTTGATTTTAAGATATGACGATTGATTGATATATGGTTTGTACAGGATACACTAATGATTGCTACGTGGGCTGTGCAGGATATGCTATTATTAAAATATTGCGTTCTTGATACAATGATGAAATATACGTTGATTGTATCGTAATACGTTATTGATACGCTAATTACGCTGCGCAGGATACGCTGTGTACGAGATGCTAGGCAGCACAGAGCGCTGCGTGGGCACCGAGGAGGTCTTGGCCGATGTGATGTCCCGCTGGGAGCGATACCGGCAGGCTACACAGCAGAACGCATCACATCATCACATCTTCTTGTTTAAGGTACATCACATCTCCACATACCGGCAGGCCACGCAGCAGAACGCATCACATCATCACATCTTCTTGTTTAGAGAAGGCTGCAGCCTGGAGAGAAGGCTGTAGCCTTTAGAGAAGGCTGTAGTCTGTAGAGAAGGCTGAAGGCTGTAGAGAAGGCCCTCTCACCCCCCAGAAACACCTGCTGTTCGAGTCATGGCTGTAGCTGTACGATGTGAATGGTCAATTTACTTGACATTTTCTCTGATTTTCTATTCTTGGTTTTCTTCATCATTAACAAGACAGCGGGGCATGTATTGTTACCGATCCCTCTACAGGGTCCGCCATAATTATGGCAATGGGTGTTTGCTATATAAAAATAAATTGGTTTCTAGGAGGCTTTTCTTTTATAATGAAGCTTAATATCATCTATTAATTCATATATTTTATATTGCAGAAGTCAAAGGTGTCTAAATTTACTATTACTTATGGCAGTAGATAGAAATGCAATTGTAACCCTTCATGAAAAGGGCGAGAGTAATTCAGTCATTGCAAAAAAGCTCTAAATTCGTCGTGAAACTGTGTGGAAGGTGGTAAAAAAATTCAAGGAAACTGGTGAAACATGCAATCGACCTGGTCAAGGAAGGAAAGGAAGTGTCCGAACAAAACAATTTGTCAAAAACACGAGGAAGAAGTTGTGGAGAAACCCTCGTCGCTCAGCTGCCAAATTGGCTGCACAGGCAGGAGTCAGTCAGACATCAGTACGTAGAGTCCTCAAAGATGACCTCAAAACCTCCCCTTACAAGATGCAAACAAGGCATGAACTAACAGACCGTCATGAACGAATGAGGCTCGAAAGATGCCAGCACATTCTGGATCTCATTGAGGATGGCACGCTGGCCAACTTTGTGTTCAATGACGAGAAAAAATTAGACAGTGAGCAAAGCGTTAAACCGTCAAAATGACAGAGTTTGGAGTCGGGATGGATCTGTGGCAACCAGAACAGCAACACGACGTCAAATTCCCATGTCCGTGATGGTTTGGGCCGCGGTAACCGCCACTGGGAGGTCCCCACTCGTTTTTGTCCTCTCAGGAGTGAAATTCAACAGTCAGCGATACATTTCGGACATTTTGGAAGCTGTGTTGTTACCTTGGGCCCGTAAACACTTCAACGGCTCACCATGGACTTTTCAACAAGACTCTGCCCCATCACATGGCTCAAACATGACCCAAAACTGGATTCAGGGTCACATCCCAGCGTTCATGAGCAAAAATGAATGGCCCTCAAGAAGCCCTGATTTGAATCCTCTCGACTTTTCTGTGTGGGCTATTTTAGAGAGTAGGGTCTGCAGAACACCTCATGATTCTTTGAATAGTTTGAAATCTAAATTGACACGAGAATGGGACTTGATCCCTCAATAAATGCTGCGTGTCTCCTGTGAAGCTTTCCTCCGTAGATTGTAGGCCGTCATTAATAAATAAGGGTGCTCATGGTGTCTGAGAATTGTTTAGGTAATTCTTGGCTACTAGCTCATCCAATAAAAAAACAATGCACCTGATTGTTTCATTGAGCAATAACAAAAAACATGCGTTGCCATAAATATGGCGGACCCTGTAAATTTAGCGTATTTCCCCCCGCAGAAACACCTGCTGTTCGAGTCATGGCTGCAGCTGGACGAGCCTGTAGAGAAAGAGCTCATCTACTTCCAGGTGCTCTACACCCTCAGGGCCGACAAGTTCCCTGTCACCCAGATGGAGGCCGTGAGTAACTTTTATTACTCATCCGTTACTATTAGTAACGTAACGTAGTGGTATTAGTAACGTAATGTATCGGTGCTCCGTTACTATTAATTGCCAGTCACGGAGTTCATATATTGATATAGGTATTGAATATTATATATTGAATATTATTGAATATTATTGAATATTATTTATATATTTCATATATTATATTGATATTGATATATTGAAGTTCATTTTGAAGGGTTATAAATGTTGTATTAAGTTTGAAGAAATTTTACAGAACTTCTATAGGCATGGTTTTGAATAACTTTCTGTGTGAAGTTTATACGTATGTGTTTGCCGAACTTTAATTTTTGATTCACCAATTAGGAGCAGCATGTTAATACCTAATATTAGTTAGCTTTCCCATTGTAATATTTATGTTGTGGGCTTTACAAGTTTTAATTTCGTTTTATAATTAAAATAGAGACAACAAAAAATTATCCACCGAGTAACAGATTATGATGGATCTTGACGTTAATCCTGATGAGGTTCTGGTTACAAGTTTCAATTTAGTTTAATAATTGAAATAACGACAACACAAATCTAGCCTCGGAAAAACAGATTGTGATGGATAATTGCGATAATTGTGCTTACGTTCTGGTGCCCAGGTAATGGCACCTAAAAAAATTATAAATCCTAAAAGTATACCTACTGTAATCTATATAATACTATACTATAATCCTAAAAGTATATTATATAATCGTTTACGCTGTTCCTCTATATCCTCGGATACCGCTACGTACGAACCACCCTCAGGTCGTACTTAATTACGATTCAATATCGCATCGTCCACTACCAAATCTTGATCTGTTACACTGTTTACGATTTATATTTGCGATAATTGTGCCTATGTTCTGGTGCCCAGGTGATGCTGTTTACGATTTATTTTTGCGCTAATTGTGCTTATGTTCTGGTGCCCAGGTGATGCTGTTTACGATTTATTTTTGCGCTAATTGTGCTTATGTTCTGGTGCCCAGGTGATGCTGTTTACGATTTATATTTGCGATAATTGTGCTTATGTTCTGGTGCCCAGGTGATGCTGTGTGCCCTGAGGGCACAAATAGAACTAGGCAACTACACGGGCGTGGGTACGGACTACGGGGAGGTTATAGGTCATACCCTCTCGCCCCGTCTCCTGTCGGTGGTGACCCACGAGGCAGTGTCAATGCACCATCAGTCTTTGTTCAACATGGACCCTTTGGAGGCGAAACAAGCGTTCCTGAACCTTATCAAATCCTGGCCTTTATATCGCGCTACAATCTTCGACGTGACGCAAAGTTTTACGTCGAACTGGTCCAAAGTTTTGTGGCTTGCGGTGGATGAGGCCGGCGTTCACCTACTGGAACATCGGTCTCGTAATGTGCTCTGTATATACGAGTATGACTACATCCTTAACTACTCTGCCTCCATCACATCGCTCATGATCATCACAGGATCCACCAGCAAACAGAGCAAGATTATCCTCAACACTACGCAGGTTAGATTTCATTAAAATTCGTAATTCACATTTTATTCACATAGAATTACTTCGTAATTTACTATTTGTTCACATAGAATTACTTCGTAATTCTCTTTTTATTCACACTAATAAACGCTAGTTACTAAACAACAATATCTCAAGTTATACGATTTTATAGGTCTAAATTGCTGTCTAGTTGCAGTTGTAAAAATAGTCCATCTCGTCATAGTTGAAGCACGAGTTATTAAACAACCCCTTTGATAATCATTAAACATAAGCCATAATGCATATGCTATAATGCGTTAGCCATAATGCATAAGCCATAATGCACAAGCCATAATGCACAAGCCATAATGCAAGCCACCTCCCAGCCTGCTTACTACGGCCAGGTCTGTAGCTGCCATGTCCCTGCCACCTCCCAGCCTGCTTACTACGGCCAGGTCTGTAGCTGCCAACATCTAGTGTGTTCCTAGAGATCCTATCTAGTGTGTTCACCCCGAGGGCGGGGTGACCTGCCTACCGACGACGCGGATACGCAGGACGACGAAGGCGGCGCATCAGCGTGACCGGGGACTAGGAAGTCCCGAACTCATCATAAGGTCATAAGGCCCAGCTCCTGGCAACTAGGTATGTTCCTAGAGGTCCCAGCTACTGGCAACTATAGGTGTGTTCCTAGAGGTTCCAGCTACTGGAAGTAGGTGTGTTGCTAGAGGACCCAGCTACTGGCAACTAGATGTGTTCCTAGAGGTTCTAGCTACTGACAACTAGGCAATGTAGGGAATTTTGGCCTTAATTAACATCAGACCTCCTAGTTACCCAGCTATAGTCCACCGATATAATAATGTCCATTTGGAACGAGTATATCGTTCAAAATTCTAGGTCCACTTGTATTGTGGTCCGTTTATGTAACGTCATTTGTAATTACGTTGCTCATTACAATTTTATAATGTTAGGTTATGTTAGTTGCCTACTATTGCTCTACTGTACCCGGCCATAACCTCTGTTCTTGCGTACGTTTTAAGAAAGGTTCGTGATTTCGAGGTAATTTCTCACGCCCGGGGTCATTAAGGTGAATATTGGGCGCGTTCATTATTCTTGTGCCGACCGGGGCCTATACTTTCAAAAAAAGTTAAGAGATCGTATGTTCATCAGCCAATCATTGACGGCCTTTCAAGCAATGAAAGTATGGCCCCTGAAGAATAATTGGGTTTGATTTTTCTGCGCAGAAACAGCCTGGCACTCATCAGATGCCTCTGCCTCAGCACAACCAGTCTCTGCCTCAGCATACCACAGCATTGCCTACGCACAATTCTGCGATGTCACATCATACAGTAATGACACAGCAACATTCTGTTCCTCCTCAACATCAGTCATCTTTACATCAGAATCAGACCTCCGTGCCTCAACATCAGCCCTCCATACCCCAACATCAGACCTCCATACCCCAACATCAGACCTCCACACTTCAATCGCAGTCTTCGGCACACTTACATCAACATTCCATATCCCAACACCAGCCTCCTGTGCCCCAACATCAGCCCCCGGTACCCCAACATCAGCCCCCGGTGCCCCAACATCAGCCCCCGGTGCCCCAACATCAGCCCCCGGTGCCCCAACATCAGCCCCCGGTGCCCCAACATCATCAGGACCCACCACCCCACCCGGTGCTCCGGCCCATGCAGCAACAGTCGTCGCAGTTGCGGAGGCCGCGGCCCCCCAGTGCAGCGTCCAAGCCTGCTCTGCATCACTGAGCTTTTTTCCTGTATAGTTTAGCCACTGAGCTTTACTGTCCCGTTCAACCTCGTAGGTTTTCTATTCGTTTAAATTTGGAACTTTTTTGTACCGTTCAACCCTGGAACTCTTTTTTTCCGTTTCAAGTCCGCAGCTTTTCTGTCCCGTTCAACCTCGTAAGTTTTCTAGCTAATTCAACCCCGCTGCTTATTTGTTCCGTTCAACGCTGGAACTTTTTTTCCGGTTCAAGTCCTCGGCTTTTCTGTTCGGTTCAACCCCAAAGCGCCACTATGAGCTCACTCTTGGCAACCTCATCTTCACTCAGAGTTTGGCTTCTGATTCAGATTGAAATAGATTTGTTAGTGCCCTGTGTTTTTTTCTAGAAGACGCTAATTATCGCTCAAATATTCGGCAGAAATTCAACGGAATCGAAACAGGATTTAAAGCTCACCATCCTCTGCTCTTATCTGTTGAGTCAAGAGCCTTCTTGAGCCTTAGTTGCTATGAAGATATTCATTACAGCACACAAAATATACGCTTCTTTTGTTCGAGAATTGCTACCAAAAGGTTTTTTTATGATGAATTTTTCCTGCTTGTCCTTTGACTTGTGAATTTACTCTGACCACTTTAGTGTATAAAAATGTTCTGAATATTAAATTGATTATAGCGTTGGTTTTCTCTAATAGCTTCTAAGGATCCAATATTATTATTTTTACTGGCCAACTTGCCACGTAAATGTGTCTCCTGTGAAATAGTGCTGCCTAAATGCTTGTTTCCTACATAACGAGTTTAAGATGACGAAATTTGGAATTTGCAATTTCCTTTTTATTTGCATTTATTTTTTATTTATTTATATTTCCTTTTGATACAAAAACATAACCAAGACGCCAAAGCAATCGCTTCCACTGACCAAAATTGTGAACCGCTCGCACTACGAAGGAGTTTTTTATAGTATTAAAACATTCGCCATCATTTTATATACAATAGCAGTTATTTTAATGCAGTTATCATTGCAGTTATTGTCTTCAGTTTCAGATTGCTTCAATATTGAGATAAGAAAGTTGAATATTAAACGGCCAAAGAAAATAGACGATTTTTCTCCTTATTGTTCTTTATTGTCTGTGAATTGAACTATTGTATCAACAATTGACGATGGAGTATTAATTGAAGATGGAGCTAATTAATAACAACTCTAGTTAAACTAAAGCTAAAAGTTGCATATTTAAGTATCTGATTAACTTAGGTTTTTGTACTGTTGCTTTTTGGGGATATTGTTCATTAATTTTTGATCTCTTTGTTGAATTTTTCTTCGTTATCTTTAATTGGTTTCTGATGTCATTTTAATTTGTTTTAATTTCCCTCGTTTGTGTTATTTATTTGTAAGCTTCATTGTTTCGTGCACTGTAAATGGCCGTATTTTACATTGTGTATATGTACGTATAATAGTGACATTACCTGACCTTTATTGTACAGAATAAGTGTTATGAATGAACGCTCCTTTTTCTCCACCCGCTCACTCCTCTTAACTCTCCACTCCCTCCTTCTCCACCGCGCACTCCTCTTTACTCTCCACTCCCTCCTTCTCCACCGCGCACTCCTCTTTACTCTCCACTCCCTCCTTCTCCACCGCTCACTCCTCTCACTATCCACACTATATTTATAATGTCTGCTCTGCACCTTCAATGGTACGGCGCCTTTTTCTTCATGTTTTACCAGTTAAGATGTGAACGAGTAAAACCTTTTTAATTCCCACTAATATAAACTTTTGTGCTCTGGAAGATGAAATTGGGTTTTTATTTCATTCTATAATTTAGATTTGTTAACATTTTTCTATGCATTTATTCACAATTTTCTATGCATTTTTTCCAACTTACGATGTAGGTTGTAAATATTTTATTTAGTTTCAGATAAGAGCTGTGTTCATTTTAGGACTTATATGTTGATGTTTAAGCGAGTGCGGAAATTGTTGCTGGTCATGATTTTATATTATGAACGATGAAGCCGAAAACATTCTTGTAATGTAATATATCAACTCAACTCGGTTTTACTTTAAATACAAAGCTGATCTCAAATTCCTCTGCATTGTAACAGCCGCTAAATTTGTCGGTTTTCGAAGTCCCTTGCTTGTGAGACTTGGTTATGTTGATGCTCATCCGAAGTGCTTATGCGTTTAGAATTCCTTTGGGTGGTTTTCACTCGTATCTATATTTGGGACTTATCTTATTTGACTGAGATAGTTTAAAACAATGATACACTTTTCATTTGGTTTTCTTTTTTTGGCTATTCGGGTTTCACTTTTTAGTAAAGGCTCTAGCAACTTGACATTTTATACATTTGACCAGACGTCCCTAATTATATCTATGCTGGAAAATCAACTGGATGACCGATGGGTTACTGTATATTGTATTGATAAAGCGATAGCTGATAAATTCTGTATAAAACGACATTCAAACTCACAGTCGAGCAATTAGAACGCAAGTCTTATCGGGCAATGTTAGTCGATCAGTACATATGCGGTCCACGTTTGCAGAACATTGTGAAATACTATTTACTCTCTCACTCATGCTGGACATTCGGGTGTTAAAGCTCATTCGTCAGAGGAGCTTATCTTTGAAATACCGAACCGTATTTCAAAGAAATACCGTATTTTATTTTTTTTTTCGGAAATACCGTATTTCAAGTGTCGACGATGAATTTATCCTTGCTTTCTCTTCCCCTGTGACATATCAGCTTCAAACTGCGCCAAGAGACATTCCTATGCCATTCATCATGACTTGTATAACTCATACTCTATTAATTCATGTTTTTTAAATACATTTCGCGTTATACGAAGCTTTCACGTTCATTAATACGAAAAATCAAATGTGCCAATCCGCCGCAGCTAGGCCTGCCATGTCAATAGTTATTTTCTATCAAATGCCATGAGCTTATGCAGAATTCGTAGACCAGCGCTTCGCTTCGAAAAGCAGCGTAGGTCCATGTTTTAATAAGCCAAGTTTTGACAAGTTAAGATGTAAATTGCTGAACTGTGCTCAAGCTCTCGATTGTGAGTCGCAACTCTTAACTCTGCCAGGGGCTGGACGTGCCTGAAAGAGATGCAGAGGAAGGGGAATCTTATTTTCCGCGACCGGCGCAGTAGGTTTCTTCAGAAAATGTCACAAATGTGTAGCTTAATTACAGCCACACAGGATCTGAAGCATAAATGTAGAAATGTTCTTTTTGTGTCACTGTTAATTTACGTTGAGCATTTTCAACCGCTGGCCGTATAACCGCTCAAACCTGCATCATATATATGGCGACATCATAGTTTCCTGTAATGTGTACAACGAGACTACTTCCTTTGTTACTGCACCATGATGCAAGCTGTCATCATCCCCGTTGCCTTACTGGTGATGATGTCAGATTAGAGTTGTGATTGTCACTTTATTTGAAATCAAAATGCACCTATTACGATCATCATGCAATTTTTGTAATGATTAAATGATTTTCACTGGGAGTCTCATAACATGAATAACGATACGCTTGCTCGGAGAATTTGGTCTCGCATTTCTTTCCATTCCAATGTTATTGTTGTGATGTATTGCACAGTATGGTGTTCGGAGCGAACTACATATTCTAATATTATTTATTCTCATTTATTTATTCAGTGTGTTGGAACTGAGACCTTTCGTGTCACTCCGAGCTAGAAAATAAGGAATAATCGCTACGATGTTTTTCCTAAAAATACCCAATTTATAATCAAAGTCTATTATTTATGGGAATAAGTAATATGTGTCTGATGTGCTCGGGTCCCGCAGAAACAAAATTTGTTTGATGTATTATTTATCAAAATTCGTAAATATTAATATGTAAAATTCGTAGATATTGTATTACCTCACGTGTGATGGCTAGTTGATGTTCGTCTGACCTGACTTGTTCGGTGATGTTGCCTGACCTGACTTATTTATTAGTGTTTGCCAGCAATTCAGACAGGCCTTTACGTCCATTAACTGTCTTCATAATGTATTTAATGTGCCATACTTGCAGCGCTAGCGCGTGAAGCTTCTCTCCTCCTAGGTAACAGGAGATAACCTACTGACTAGGTAACCTACTGACTAGTTAACCTATACTGACTAGGTAACCTACTGAAAAGGTAACCTACTGACTAGTTATCCTATACTGACTAGGTAACCTACTGACTAGGGTAACCTTCTTACTAGGGTAACCTACTGACTAGGTAACATACTCTAGGTAACCATGAGGCAACCTACTGAATAGGTAACCACTGACTAGGAATCCTTCTGACTATAGGTAACCTACTGACTAGGTAACCCACTGACTAGGTAACCTTCTGACTATAGGTAACCTACTGACTATAGGTAACCTACATACTAGGTAATCTTCCCCTACTAGGTAATCTACTTAGCTTTGAAAGTAATAGGTAACCTCAGAATCATGGATGAATTGTTGTATATATATTGCTCATACACGAGACTAACCCAAATCATGTTGGTCAGTAAATGAGCTCTGGATAAAATTCAGCATTTACAAGCCAGGTTCTGTGCTCATTCCAGCTAGTTTTATAATGGGTTAGTTTTACCCCATAGGGTGACACTTGTGTGTGGGTTTTCTTGTACCAAATAAAATTGACGAATTAAACAAATGTTTTTTTAATTCAAATTAGAACTGTTGGCATAGAAGCATTTTTCGATTAAAAAAATTAAAAATTCAATTAAGGTGAATTGATTGCTGGGACTCGCTCTTTTGTCCGGTTCTATATTACAACCAAAATTTCGGGGTTGCTACCAATTTTAAAAACCTAAACCCAGATGGTATTTAACAGTAGGGACGATAAATTCGGGAACTAGCTAGACGAAAAATGTGAATGCGAACGACTTTGTTGGTTTTGAATTATACCTTCTTGTTCCCGGCCATTGGATATTTGGAGACGAGTTATTCATATTGCGCGGTTTTGAAGGTGTTTGTGTTGGGGGTTGTAGAAAGACATAAATGCCAGCTATAAATATGCGTCATTAACAAAAACGTGGCATTTTGGGAAATTGTGGGCGCCAAATGTCTCATTTATAAAGAAAACAAGAACCAACACCAGGGGCCACGGCTATAAACTAAAAAACTGAGCTGCAACTCATAAACGCGACAACACTTCTCGCTTCGAGTCACCGACATGTGGAACAGCCTCCCTGATAGTATCGTTGACGCTCCGAGTATGAACGCCTTCAAGAACAGACTAGACGAAGCTATGCAGGAGCCTATGTTCAATCTTAAAATGCGGACCAGGCAATAAGTTCAGCAGCTATCTCAATCAATCGTCAGTTAAGGAAAGATCGGGTTCCAATGGCCGGATTCCTTGTGAGACAAGTCACGAAAAGTACAATAATTTGCAACAGACCATGGGCCTATTTCTTCAGTGCCGACACTTTTATTCTATTCTATAAGAAGAGTCTCACTTTTAAAAATGCAGGGAAACCGGCGCGATACAATGTCGTTGAGTTGGCAGTGAAGGTATTTGAAGCCAAACATTTTTGCCCCACAGACTCGACTCCTTATAGCGTCAGATAATATTAGAACTTAGAGCTTCTTGTAGGTATGGGACTTGTTAAATTTCAGGCAAAATACAAGAAGGAAGTAATTTGGGCAAGATTCAGAAGGCGTAGAACAAAAATAACATTTAATGATTAAAACTAGCGGGTCCGCCCCTCACATACGCTGACATTTCAGCAATTAAATTAAATCTTCAAGGCGTAGCAAGTATTGAGCTGTGGCGTCAAGACAGTTAACAAAACAAAGTTTGTATTCCTTTTATTTTTATCGAAGCCAGAAAGTGTTAAAAATTGACTTTTACTTCAGACATGGCAAAAGGTTATGAACACTGGAACAAAGTTTAACCCAGGCTAAAACGAAGCAAATTTAGGCGTCACGCGAACGCTTTCAACAACTTTCATTTGGTATAATGTGAACAACATAATCCAGCTATCTGGGAAGATCGTCACGACGCACATCACAACTAAAATTTTCCTTATTAGAAGTTGAATTAACAACTACTATACACAGGAGTAATATTATGCATATTATGGAAAAAATACTCCGACAATGACCGAGACCGAGGGCGTGAAATGCCTTTCGAATGTGCAAGATGTAAAGTGGCTCAAACCTGAATGAAATTATAACAAAAGATGAGTTTACAACTCGTATAGGGATGAAAGTTAATGACCAGCTTTGCCAAGAGCACCATCACTTTCATATTCCTTCCCGAGCGCAAGCTACAGGCTCTACAGCATTCAAGTAAAGTAGCCATGCTTTGAGCTACTGGGCTAGTTAAGGAGTTTAATTTGCTGCAAACGGCTGCATGCGCTCCCCTCATTTTTTGGGCAACTGTAAACGACAATCGACGAGGATCCAAGATAGGCTGCTTGATTTAAAGGAGATCTTGCCTTGTGGTACGAGTGCATTTACCTTGAGGCTCGGTGTGCTTCTTGGCAAAAAAAAAAAAAAATCTATGCACTTCGTGGGGGGAACAGACTAATTTAACTCTTGAACTAGCTATAGAGCCCACACTCAGCCTAAACATGTACAGCTTAACTTAGCCTATGATCGACTAAGTCGTAGACCACGTTCGAAACACCGCAAGCCATTCTAATTACGAAATGGCTT